GTGTTATGCAGGACTCGCAACATCTTCAAAAACCCATCTGCCGCCATCGTACTGTCGCCTTCGTTCTGCTCTATCCTTTCTTGCCATTGCTCAATCCACGGGAAAACCTTTCGAGACAATTCTGGCGAAGGCTTCACAATGTCACGGGGGAGGTAAAAGCGACCACCATCCAGGGGAAGATCAGCCATAGTTCGTAGCAATCTTCGAGGGAGGTTTGTCAGATATGATCCTTCCATGGAATCACTTGTCCAGCGACTAGCCCAACCGATATCCGAGTCAGCAGTACCACCAATATCTGCCATTTTCGCACCCGATTCCCATCCAGCGTATGTCTTAGCTTTGCTACGAATACTGGCATGCTTAAAAGTGTTGTCAATGGCCTTGTAGTGCGCAGCAGGGGTGATCGCTGAGGTCAAATCGTTAGGCTTGGACTTGCATAGCTTGATATCATACCAAGTCTAGGCTCAATCATATGATAGAAATCGTTTGCCTTCGACATGCCAATGGTAGAAAAGATACATGCCCGATGCCATCTAAGGACATACTTCAACATTTGCATTATGAATAGCAGATCCATGCTGACTGTTGCTGAACTGATTTTTTAACCGTGATCCAAAAGGAGAACCAAGGCAGGGCACTCGATATCCAGTGTCGGTCCTTCTCGTTGTAAAGGGATGGTCTGGACATCAGCCAACTCCAGATCTCGGACGTTTTTGCCACGCATCAAGGCAAAGTGGGAAATCAGTAGCATCAATGCGTTTCTATAGTGTTCACTCTTGTCCTTTCGAAAACAGTTGTCGACAACCGTTCCTAGTTCCGCAAGGGTCAAGTAGCCATCCAAGAGTGTTCCTGCGGGCACGGTCCTCATAGTTATTGTGACGCTTTCGAACTTCCATTTTCCTTGCTTTTTTCAGAAGCTGCTTGACTGCATTCGTTCATGGATTGTTGGTGGCAGTGTTCGTACCTAATTCGACTTGTTCCTTGTACAGTTTAATAATAGCGTTGACATATTGCTCGACAGTGGAATAGCCAACACGATGGATTGCTTCTTCTTCATTTTTGACCTCGCCTGCTAATCGCTTGTTTCCTAGGGCACGACTTGCTCTGCTGAGGACCTGTGTTATTATAATATAGTTTTGAATGATATTAACATAAGCGTCTAGCTCATATCTTTGATGAGGGCAAATACTAATGTAGAATCTGAATAAACTTATTTTCTGCACGAGGAATGCGTGTAATTTTTCACCTATTACTTGATCCCATATCATTGGGTGGAAACCTTTTTCTTTGCACCATTCACAGTATTCGGAAACCTTGGGGTCGTAGGCTTGTTTCGTGTTTGAGGGCCTAAGATCCTGAGATTGTACGTGCGTAAGCATAACCGCATTGTGCATTTCCAAATTCAAGTTGGCATAGTGAGCCTCGTCGCGTAATGGTACAGAGGAAGATGAAGCAGTGGCGGGCACAGTTGAGTGATTTGGGAACATGATAGTTTTTCAAGAAACAATACAAGAAAGAAAATGACGGAAAATTACACAAAGTATTCCACAGAATAGCCATCTTATATACTGTGCTCAACCTTCTCAGTTTACACGTCTGTGCATCTTTAAAGATAAGACTCGACTTCCCGTTTTCTCTTCAAGAAGTATCGCTTTGTCAATAAATGTAATTCATGCTTCAGCCCAGTTCAGCCCAGTTGATATCGATCCATGCAAACAGCCATATCTTACATAGCTTCAAAATATTAGCATGAGTATAGATATTATATTTATGGTTATCTCTTTATAAACGCTGTATTTAGTTCTACTATAAAAGGGGCTTCTTTATGCCTTATTTATTGTTTGAATTATTTTTCGGCGCAGTAATGCTCAGAGCTTTCCGCATTCAAGCGCGATTTCTCATCTATATTTGGAAATTGCATATTCAACCGAAGTCTGCTACTGGCTGGGGACTCGGGGCTGAGACCCACTGCACCGACCGCAAGATATGCTCTACATACCAAATAAAGGTTATTTTCTATGAATCAATTTTATTATGGGTCAATATATACATCGGAATAACTAGCTGGTTATATGTCTGCTCTTCTTGATTTATAATCATATTTCTATATATAGTGTCGCTATTATATTATTCATCGTCCTGACCACTGGTAGTTCTAACAGCTGCACCGTAGGTAGGATATCATCGTAACGGTCCACGCTGTTACGATGTCTACACTCAGAATTATATAGCTATTCACCAATATCCTACCTAGTATGTTGAATGTACGAAAGACTAAAGGTTGTAAAGCTTTCTTCTTCGCCTGGTTCGTCTAGTCCCTTTCATCCAAGTAGCTTTTTAGGTGGCTGGTGTTGTATCAGTACTGGTTGCTAAATTCTCCCCGACCCCTGCAAATCGCGATCGTGATAAACCGGTAAAGAGATTGTCAATCGTCACGTTCATAAGCACGACATTTATTCAATCTTTGGTTTCTAAGAAGTGGCAAAAATGCTATAAAGAATAAAACAAGGGAAGTTTTTACTAATACGTCTTTCAAAATTTCCTCCTTACGGACATGAAGCGTCCCACCTAGATATGTCATCCAATTGACTTCTTACATAATACATACGCGCTGTGCTTCTTATGGGCACGACACCACCCATCTGCTATATTTACCACAAGTGTGTCAGCTATGCTGCTCTGTGTAACATATCATACTTATCATTAGAACTTGTCGTGCCCATATCAATTCCCTTACTGCTTTGACTGATTCCCATCACATCAATACAAACTCAAACGCGCCGCTACCGGGGTAAGGGGGGGGGGTAGTTAGGCTTGCCTCCAGCGAGCCGCCGAGACGAAGCTCTGTATAGGAATTGACATGAAGCGAAGCAGAGGGGCTCCACCGTACGGTGCGAAGAAAGCGACAAAGGCTTGTGAACAATAATACATAGACGGTTATGCTGCTCTAAAAAAAAGTCTTATTTTTTCATAAGCATCATGTGTGCGGGTGATTTCTAGTTCAGAGACTTCGGTGGCTACATGGACACTCCAACGTCATGAAGGTGGATCATGTAAGGCAGTATAGAACTTACCTGGTGCATTTATCTAGAAGTGACCTTTTACTCACAGATCCTATCTACTCGAGCCTTCATGTAAAATCATTTTGACCCATTTCATTCTTTCCATGCGCACGTCTTGATAGTTGCTAAAGATTAATTTTGTATGAGTATATAGTAGAGAAAACTCGATTGAAATAAAGCAGCTTTGATTTGTTTATAGTCTCATTAAAATATTAAGCCTGGTCAAAGGCCGCTGAAGCTTCAAATCCGAAGGTCGTACAATAAAAACATTCTAGCCAATTATCACACTGATTACTTAAAAAGGTAGCTTCAGCTGTGATCATTCACCTCCAAGGCCAAAGGACCTTCAGCCTCGCGCTCTTTACTTTTTAAGTAAAGAAATATTTTTACGACCTTCCAGATTTGAAGCTTCAGCGGCCTTTGACCAGGCCTATTGTTGATTTTAGCAATGATACATAACACAATATAATGTCGTTGATAATCACAGAAACGTGTCACCAAATGGAATACTAGTGTAAAAGGAGGGGAGGAATTGTAGCGTCATCACCCCATTATTTAGAGATACTCTCATAAACATCAAAACTACAAAGTCCTATTGAGCCTTTTATCATTACACAAGTATACAGTACTAGCCCGCTCTACTAGAAACATGTATTTTATGTCTACTACCGTCCATATACACCTTTCTTACCGCAATTGAACTGAAGAGGCCCTGCATGTGAGTGACCCTGTAGTCTAGTGCCGTTGTCTGTACTATTATTTATTTTGTATCGTTCATTATCTTGTTCTTTGGTTAGAGCACTCGCAGCAATGCTTGTAACAAAACTTGTAATTGAGGACTTGTAAAATCCTTGTAGTACTACAATACCGAACTTTCACAATAGTTATTGTAATTTACAAGCTCGCAGATTTCCTTCCATTGTAAAATTTACAAGTCCTCTATTCAGCTGGAAATCCCCTCCGCCAAGACTGCTATAGTCACTGATAGAGCTTTGCGGTTTAGACTATTTGGTCTAACCGCAAAAACCGCAAAAACCGCAAACTTCGGCTGTTGAATGATTTGACCTCAGTCCAGGGCTGGTGCAAAATTAACTATTCGTTTTTATTACACTGCATCTTAATGACAATGCTCCCAAACAACGACACCAACCTCATCCCTCTGTACACGTACGCCCTTGCAATTTTTTCTAAGGAGCAGCGCCTCAGAAGCGAGGTGGAAAAGCGTTTCCTCGAGACTGAGGAAAATGTGGTGGGATTCCTCGTGACCAATACGGGAGGTGATGTGCAGCGTTCTTGTGCGCTTAAAAGCGAAATCGCTCGCTTGAAGGCTCTTCGCGATGTCAGAACCGTGCAGCAGGCTGACGAGGCAGCATCTTCTAGTTTTGCTGGAGAAAACGCGACCATGAAAGCCGAGATTGCGGCAATGGAGAAGCAGCTCACTGAGCAGTGGAGGACTCGCCGTGCCGCGATTGCCGAGAAGTACGGAGAGGATGTAAAGTCCTTGGATGCACCAAAGTTGCCTTTTCTTCGAAAGAACGCTGGAAAGGTCACTGCATACAATATGTTTCAAAAAAAGTTGTATCTCGAACAAGGTCGTAAACATTTTTTAAGTTACTTATTTGTAGATCGATGCATGCTAACAAGTACTATTTGACTATCACCAGACCGCAAACGGTATAAGCATGATCGCAGCCAAATAGGCAGCATCATGAGCGAAAAGGCCTCGATGTGGAACAGTCTTAGCTGGGAAGATAAAGCTTTCTACCAGGAAATGGCTGACGAGCATAACAAGCAGCAACCCGCTTCTGAGCTGCAAAAGAAAAGAAGCGCTTTTGTTAAACTGTCAGGTTACCTTACCCGTAACTTGACAATGTTGAGAGAAGAATGTGGTGTGGAAGGAATCTGTTTTGTCGCACCATGCAACATTAACAACGCTATTCAACCCGATCAGGATGGATATGGCTCTGGTAACATTCTGGGATTCTATTATAAATGAACGCGATATTTATCTTATCAATTTCTGATGAACAAAACTTAGATGGCGGGATGCACTTCTGGAGCTTGATGCAAGCAGAAGCAATTGATTTGAATGGGAAAAATTTCAGTCACCATTTCAAAGATCAAATGCTTCAATACAACAAACAGCTTGGTAAGCTTATTTTGCTCTACTTCAATTTTTATGTACCAACTACATGTATGCTCATCTATCACTGAAGCTGCGTCCAAGAATGATACTTCCACCCAACAACCCTCCTCTTCTTCCTCTTCCTCCGCATCCGCATCCGCATCCGATAGCACTGCTGCTCCTGTGACATCTATTTCCTCGGGGCCGAATCAAGTGCCATCCATGACGTCCCAAAAGCCCCGAACGGCACAACATGATGGAGTGCAGAAATTGAGGAATATCATTGCCCAGAAATACCGTACGTTTTTATTATAGATTAGGAGTGTCAACGACCTGACTTTGTGGATCTCGACGTACGAATACCTTTTTAATACGTTTTACCTTAGGACAAGCAATATTTGAGAACTACCAAGTTGCTCTCCCAGAAGGAAGAAAAATGGCATGGCAAGACAAAGCAATGTATCGCGATATTGTCATGTCAGGCTGGCCTGAAGGAACCGAACGCGTCAACCCCAGCCGTTTACTGCAGCATGAACGAGATGAAATCGAGCGTCGGCTGAATTCGGGTGAGCTCAAGTTTGTGAAGGCGCCACAACAGCAGCGACAACATGATTAAAGCCTTCTTCTCCTTCTTCTTGTTCAAAAAAATACCTTTTCTACTATCCTCCACTGACAAATTGCTAGGACCACTTGAACTACTCTACACTTGCATTGCTGGAAGGACTTTAGTGGGAGTTTAAGACTATGAAATAGTATGGCTGCGGTATGTCTTGGTAAGTTCATGATGTGTACATAGGGAGAAGTGATGGTACTTAAAGACATGCATGTAACGCTTAATCACATTCGAAGTATATGTCTCCATATTTTCCTGCTGTAAGTAAGCGTGATCCACTTGTATTTCTTCGCAGTACGCAGCAATTTTGTTGTTGATATCATAACTGGGAATAAAGCAATTAAAATCAAAACATATCAACATTACATTTAGTTCAGTATTCATAATCTAGTGTAAGCATTTCAATACTTATTAATACTAGCTAGTCGTTATGATTTCTTTTCGCGCGGGAACATGTATACGGCAAAGTGTGAGCTCCTTTTGCTCAGAAACGAACCGTCTAACAAACAACTTTTAATAATAATTTTCACCTCAAAAGAGGGGATGGTAGGGTGGCATGGCTCTATCTAACGTATCCAATGATACTGCACAAATATTCTTTAAAGATTTTACATTATTTCCACAAAGGGCAAGTCTACTGTCAGTGAAGTGTTAGCTCAATGATAACTTGTAGGCTAAAAACAAGAGAATGTTAAGTCTATTAGTTATACATGCATCTCATATACATTATCCACCTCTTTTGATGACAATGAGCAGATACAACATACATATTACTGTTATCATGGTGACTCCTATAGCAAGTGGGTAGGTGGCATCGATGAAAGCACCCTTGCTATCTGTCTAACTTAATGATGGTAGCTCTCTGTCATCAGTGTACCGGCATTCCCTGCCATCGACTTGACGGCACCCATCTTTCGAAGTGCGGCAATAATTTGCTCAAGGTTAAGTACACTTCTTGAGACATCCCTTCAGTAACCCGCTTTGCTACAGTATTACTTCGACATAGATGAAAAACGAGAGCTTAGAATTTGAAATAGTCTACTAGAAATAAAAAAAATGTACGTACATTGAGGCACACAAACTTGCAGACAATACAAAAAAAA